TTTTGAGTAATTGTGCATGCCTAGAGCACATAGGGGTAGGAGAGGTAGATATACAGGAGCCCATAGCCTACTTTTGCTACGAGATCTATCCCATTCATTTAGTGAGAGTAAGGAAGTAGAAGAAGAAATCATGGCTGAAGTACCTCCTCATGGTCCAAACGATGGGAATGGGAATGGTAATCATTTTGAGGGTTTTTATCATAGGTTTTGGCTCCTTTTAATGATAATTGTGCTTAATTTTGATTAAGAGTCCGTACTTTGAGTTAATACCTTTTTTAGGATAAAATTGTCATAATTGGTTATTAATTGTATTCAATTAATTTCTAGGACAATTGATGCCTTAAATTGTTGCTTTTCAATGTAGGACACCTGAGATCTGGGCCAAGATTCAAGGCTCAAGGCACAAGGATGCAAAGAGGAGCCTTTGCCATAGTTCGCCGCGGCACACTTCTTCCAACTCTTGAAGATGGTGGAGTAGTATGAGTTTCCAAGTTTCAAAGGGAAGTTTTAGTTTTAATCTTTAGTTTCTAGCTATGTGATTATGATTTCCTAGGTCTAGGAGTTGTAAAGTCTTAGTTAGACACTTTGGTTAATTCTGTAATCATTGGTTAATGATTAACATTTGTAATTTGGATTGATTGATGTTGAATTTTGTGCTTAAATATATGTAGTTGCATATATGCTTCTTGTAACTCTTATGATTCTCTCCTATCTTGCATGGTTATGTTTTGATACTGAGTTGATTATGTGTTACATTGAGCCAATTGCATGATCATTCCAAAATTACACATTAGGGAAGCTTAACAAAGTTTTCATTAATGAGTTTATTAATGTAAGCTTTGGACTCAATGAGTTATTGACGTTGTTATTAAGAAAACCTAATAGATTTGTGAAACTCCCAATATTTTAAGTGAACTATAATTGCCATCAAAACCATTTTCAAGAAATTTCCTATCAATCATTTCCATTACATCATTATTATCTTAAAACAATAAAAACATAGTATCTTAGGTTTGTTTTCATTGCATTCAGTTTAGGCACCATTCGTTTAAATGTTAAAAACCCAAAAACCCCTTTTCATTACATTGCATGGCATTTAGTCTAACTTAGGTAATTAATTAAGGCTCCCAAGCGTGAAACAACCCGATTTTGCACTATACTGTATAGCTTGGATTTATTTTTGATTGAGAACCCTAAAGCGAACGATAATAAGGCTCTCGTCAAGTGGCGCCGTTGCCGGGGAGCCAAGAAATTGGTTCTCTAGGTTAGCTAGTGTCATTGGGTTGTCAATTGAAGTTTTGATTTTTTTGGGTTGCATCTTAGGTAGTTTAGTTGCATATTTGTTCATAGTATAGGTTTTCATCTTTCATAGCATAAAAATTTTTAGAAATACAAACAAATATATTGATTTTCTTGATTTTCAGCATTTCTTATGTTGCATCAGTGGAGTCCAGTATCTGATAAGCTTTCTGTGACAGTTCGCCGCGGCCAACCTGACCTTTCGCCGCGACAAACTTTCTGAAAAACCAAAGGATTCCTCTCGAGATACCTTCGCCGTGGCACACTCCTGCTTTCGCCACGGCAAACTTCCTTCACTCAACTATCTGGATGCCTCTATCACCTTTCGCCATGGCCAACCTCTGCTTTCGCCGTGGCAAACTCTTCTGAAAATATTGAAACTTACACTTTTTGCTTCTTTTTCTATCCATACATACTTGTAATATCCTTTAAAAAAATTCAAAAAAAATAATTGAAAAATAATATAATATAATATAATAATATTTTTTAATATTAAGAAAAAAAAAACAAAGTCCAACTTTCCACCGAAATATCGGTGGAAAGTTGGAGGGGGTGTGGAAAAATTGGGGGGAGGGTGGAAAACGTGGGTTTGGTTTGAAAAAAAACCCTTCCCCCAATAATTATGTGGGGGTGTTAAATACCCCCCACAATCCATTTTTCCCTCCGGCAAGCGCAAGAAGAAAGAGAGAAAGAGAAGAAGAAAAGAGAGAGAGAGAGAGCCGAAGAGTGTGTGAGAGAGAGGAGCATACCGGTGAAGCAGAGGGCAAGCTTTGAAGATATTTTAGGTACATAAAATTACTTCTTTTTATCAAACTTTCTTTATAAATATTTCCTGTATATTTTAAGCTTCCTATTTACGTTATTACTATCATGATTAGAGAAAATTTTGGAGACTTATATATGATATAAGTATTGAGTTTTGACAAAAGATGACGATAGAAATTTAGAAGTAAATGAGTTGTTAATTTTAATCAGTTTAGATTTCTCTATTTGCTAGTTTTAGTATTTAAATTAATTTATTTAGTGGAAAATCTGTTATGTATGAGATATACCATATTTTTACCGATTAAATTTAAGTTAAATACTTTATTTGGGTTGTTTGATATATTATTGAGGTTTTAATCGGGTTAGTTTTATTTATTGGGTGACTGGAGGTTTTAAAATAATTATTGTAGCTAAAAAGTTTATTATTTATGGAAATATATATATGGTAGTTATACCATTAAAGTTTTGATTATATTATTTAGTTATAAATATTTGAAGTATTATTGAATTTTTGATAGTTTGATTTTGAGGTTTAAACTTAAAATGAGATTTTTAGAATTTATAACATAACAATTTTATATTTAGAAATTGTTGAAAATCCTTTTTATTAAGATAAATAATTTGGAGGTGGTAAATAAATATTTTGGCTTGTTAGAAATTTTAAGTTGTTTCTAAAATACTTAATAATTTTTGAGTTATGAGAGTTGCGGGAATTTGGAATAAAAATTTAATTAAATTAGAAATTTAAATAATATAGAGAAGTTTAATTAATTAATTTATTTATATTAATTTGTGGTTATATTAATTGTGTAGATTAATTATTGGTTGAGCAAAGGATTGACCTTGTGGTAATCCTTAGTATTGCTTTGGCGAGAGGTAACCACTTTCCACTTGTTATATGTGCTAATATGTTGTTTGTGAGTATTTTGCTATTTTTAGAATAATATTTGATATTTGGAACTTGAGTAGATATGTTATATCTTTTGAGCTATGAAAATTGTCTTGTGGGATTTTTGGAATTGTGATTGAGAAGTTTGGAAAAGATATATGGTTTATATCTTATGGATTATACTGAGAAAAGATTGAGACATTTTTATTATATTGTGAATGATTGGTTGTTATTTGGATTTTGGATTGAGTCATATCCTACCACGTGGTAAGGCCGCCATTGGTGCACATTGGTTGGCTTCTTCCTTCGTCCCCCATAGTGAGGGATAGGCCTTTGTGGCTTCTTATTCGTCCCACAAAGTGAGGGATAGGCCCATATGTTTGATTGATCCCCCAGAGTGAGGGATAGACTTATGTGGCTTGTGTGTTGACCCCCATAGTGAGGGTTTGGATGATTGAAATTATATTTCTATGGATATATCTATAGTTCTCGAGAATTAATAACTGTCCCACTTGACACCTCACGAGCACGTGTTAGTATGTATGATGAGTTGGAAAGTTGGTTACTGAGGCGTTTGTCTCACCCCGTGGTTTAACATTTTCAGGCGATAGTTCAGGTGGTGGCCCATCAGGGAAGGCTCCGGAGGCATAGTGTGCTATTATAGCTTGTATAGCCTCCCTGTTCTTGTTCTATGTGCTGACTTGTTATATATTGCCACATAGGGCTCATCTACTATCATGATGTAAAATAATACTTTTAATTACTACTATCTGGTATGATAGGGTAGTAAGGAGGTCCGAGACATTTTAGACTTTGCGTATTACACTCATTTGATAGTGTTGATTTTTGACTAATGGGCTCTATGATTTATATTAAAATGTTTTATCAGTTCGTGTGTTTGAAAGTGTAAGTTTGGTTTGGGCTAACGGTTGAATGATATTTCTGGACTTTGAAAGTCCAAGGCCCAAGTGAACGATTGATGTGGCTCGTAATATAAGTTTATTTCTTTTAACCATGATAGCGATTTTAAAATTTTAAGGTTTCTTCTTTTCTATCATGGTTAATTGTTCGAATAAATTGAAAATTTTGATCTAAATGGGTTTTAAAAGAATGGTCGTTACAATTTGGTATCAGAGCTAAAGATTCTGTGAAGCGGTTGCATTACATTGCATTTAGTGGCAATATATAATAATCTCACATAACCTTCCCTGTTACTTTGTGTCTGTGTTTGTCCCTACTTTGTGTTTCTTTTGGTGGGTTCCATCCTTAGGTGGGGAGGATGGTACGGACGCGATCCCGACAAACCGATCAGGGTGGAGATGAATCCACAAACCCGCCTAATCAACCACCGAATCCTTTTCAGTTTAACCAGGAGACTTTACTGCAACAACTAAGGGAGGTAGTAGCTACGGTCGTAGATGAGAGAGTAAGGAAGATGGAGGAAGATTTGAGAGTCAAGAAAGCTGTGGAAGAGTTTGAAGGGAGTGGGCTTCCTGGACCGTCTGTGGGAAATTCTGTCACCCACAAAGATTCTATTGAAGGAACCAGAGGAGATAGTAGTTCACAAAGGCGACCAGGAAAAGAAGAAGCCGTGAACCTTAAAAGTGTATGGAAGGATATAGAGCGGCATCACCCAAAGACGTTTGATGGGGGTATGGATCCTGACAAACCTGAGGCTTGGATTGATGATATGAAGACAATATTTAAAGCTTGTGACTGTAATACCTACTAAAAGGTACAAGCAGCGGTAGTTTTACTGAGGGACCGAGCTAAGAGGTGGTGGAGGAGCGTAAGCGGCATAGATGACTCGGGGATTACTTGGAACGAATTCAAACAGATGTTCTTTGATCACTACTTTCCCCCAGCCATGAGACAAGAAAAAGAAACAGCTTTTTATGCTCTTCGACAAGAGAACATGCATGAGGATGAGTTTATTGCCAAGTATATTGATCTCTCTAAGCACGTTACCTATCTGCAGCATAATGATAACCCAGAGTGGATGGCCCGACAATTGATAGAACGGGCGAGGCCAGAGTTGAAGTAGCAAATGGCCTTATATGAGTTTAAGAGTTTCGAGGATGCCTGCACGAAACTCAGGATGACAGCTCGCAGAACCCGAGAGGTAGAAGAGAGCCGACGTCGGGATAATCAGGACAGATTCTCTGGTTTTATGAGGCCAATGGGAGGAATCAATAAAAAGAATAACTACAGTTATGGGAGCTCAGGTAACTCAAGCAGAGGCAAGAGCCAGAATCAGAAGAATTCAGCCCGTGGAGGCTTTATGCAAAGGAGACAAGCTCAGGGGAGCCGTATAGGGGGAGATCGGAGTGTCCCCCATGAGCCTACCAGATCTACACCAAGTGTTAGTGGTCCTTGCATGAGATGTGGGAGAAATCACCCAGGACAGTGTTGGGAATGCTACAGATGCCATAAGTTTGGGCATATAGCTCGCAATTGTCCAGAGATGCAGCAGCAAACTCCTAGTTTCAGATCCACGGTGCCAGGGAGAGTTTTTGCATTGACTAGAGAGGAAGCTGGTATGTCTCCTAATCTGATTAGAGGTACTGTCTCTCTTCAAGGACATGATATACCTGTGTTGTTTGATTCTGGTGCCACTCATTCTTTTATTGCTGCGGAATGTGCTCAAAAGTTTAAATTTCCAATGCATGATTTGTCTTACATGTTGAAAGTGTCAACTCCAGCGGGAGCCACTGTGTTAACCACACAGGCGTGTTTAAGTCTTGTACTTAAATTTGAGAATCGTGAGTCTGTGATTGATTTGATTTGTCTACCCTTCAAGGGTATTGACGTGATTATTGGCATGGATTGGCTATCAGCAAATAATGCCATTCTGGATTGCAAAAGGAAGATAGTAACTCTTCCTTTGTGCGCTACGATAGTTGAGGCTATTAATGGTCGTTTGTGGTTGTCTGGTACTCAAGCAACTAAGTGTATTCAGAAGGGTTGTCAAGCGTATGCTGTTTTCTTTTCTGTTAGTACAGATAAAGAAGTTGTTATAGACCAAATCGAGGTAGTAAAGGAGTTTCCTGAGGTATTTCCTGAGGAAATATCCGGTTTACCTCCTGAAAGGGAAGTTGAATTCTCCATTGAGCTAGTACCAAGGACAGCTCCAATTTCTAAAGCACCGTACAGAATGTAACCTTCTGAATTGGCAGAGCTGAAAAAGCAAATCGAAGAGTTACTTGAAAAAGGATTTATTAGACCAAGTGTCTCACCGTGGGGATCACCAGTACTGTTTGTGAGAAAGAAGGATGGGAGCCTGAGATTGTGTATAGATTACAGGCAGTTGAACAAAGTGACTATCAAGAACAAATATCCTTTGCCTAGGATTGATGATTTGCTAGATCAATTAATAGGGTCAGCAGTGTTTTCTAAGATTGACTTAAGGTCGGGATATCATCAATTAAGAGTTAGAGCAGAGGACATCCCAAAGACGGCCTTTCATACCAGATACGGACATTACGAGTTTCTAGTAATGCCTTTTGGTTTGACGAATGCTCCAGCGGTGTTTATGGACTATATGAACCGGATCTTTAGGCCGTACTTGGACAAGTTTATTGTGGTGTTTATAGATGATATCCTGATATACTCTAAGAATGAGGAAGAACACCGAGAGCATCTTTACATTGCATTGCGAATATTGAGGGATCATCAATTATATGCTAAGTTAAGCAAGTGCGAGTTCTGGCTTAGAGAAGTGAAGTTCTTAGGCCATATAGTATCCGCCGAGGGAGTAGCTGTTGATCCTAGCAAGGTCGATGCCGTGTTGAAATGGGAAACACCAAAATCTGTGACGGAGGTAAGAAGTTTTGTGGGCTTAGCTGGGTATTATCGAAGATTCATCAAGGGATTTTCTCAGATCGCCATGCCTCTAACTAAGTTGACCAAGAAAGACCAACCGTTTATCTGGAACGAAAAGTGTGAGGCGGCTTTCCAAGAACTGAAAGCTAAGTTGACCACGGCTCCAGTGTTGACTATTCCAGATCCTAGTAAACCGTACACCCTTTATACTGATGCTTCACTTAAGGGTTTAGGGTGTGTCCTGATGCAGGAAGGAAAGGTGGTTGCCTATGCATCTAGGCAATTAAGGCCACATGAGGAAAATTATCCTACACATGACTTGGAATTAGCGGCAGTGGTTTTTGCATTAAAGATCTGGAGGCACTACTTATATGGATCACAGTTTGAAGTCTTCAGCGATCACAAGAGCCTAAAGTATTTAATAGATCAGAAGGAACTGAATAATAGACAACGCCGATGGATGGAATTCATCAAGGATTATGACTTTGAGCTTAAGTATCATCCGGGTAAAGCCAATGTGGTTGCAGACGCTTTGAGTAGGAAAACGGTGCATGTATTTCACATGAGTTTGGAGGAACACTACTGCTTAGAGAGATTGAGAGATCTCCAAGTGGTGCATGAGGCTCCAGCCACTCTACAATCAATTTTGGGTGATTATGAGTTCTTTCGAGACTTGAAGGTTGCACAGATGGAGGATGACCGGTTACTAAGCATCCGAGAGGAAGTGGAGACCCATGGTATGCCTGATTATGAAATTGGTGAAGAAGGAATCCTAAGGTACAAGAAGAGGATTTGTGTCCCTAATAATGAGGAAATCAAAAGGTCTATTTTAGAAGAGGCGCATCGAAGTAATTACACAATACACCCAAGGATAACCAAGATGTACCAAGACCTGAAAAGGAACTACTGGTGGCCAAAAATGAAGAGGGATGTCACAAATTTTGTGCTGAAGTGTCTGACATGTCAAAAGGTCAAGATAGAACATCAGAGACCTCTAGGACTATTAAAGAATCTTGATATTCCCCAATGGAAATGGGATAGTATTTCCATGGATTTCATTACTGGTATGCCAAGAACCCCGGCTGGCTATGATGCTATATGGGTAATTGTAGATAGATTGACTAAGTCAGCGCACTTCCTGCCTATCAAGAGTACTTACTCTTTAGAACGATTAACAAAGTTGTATATAGATGAGATTGTTCGACTTCATGGAGTGCCAGAGTCTATCATTTCAGATAGGGACCTAAGGTTTACATCGAACTTCTGGCAGTTATTACATGAAGCCATGGGCACTAAGCTTAAGTTTAGTACTGCTTATCATCCTCAGACTGATGGACAGACTGAGAGGACTATTCAGACTCTCGAGGATATGTTGAGGGCTTGTGCTATAGAGCTAAAGGGTAGTTGGGACACTCACTTGTCATTAGCTGAGTTTGCCTATAACAACAGCTATCACACTAGTATTCAGATGGCACCATATGAAGCTTTGTACGGGAGGAAATGTAGATCTCCACTTTGTTGGACTGAATTAAGTGAAAGAACAATTATTGGCCCAGATTTAGTGGACATTACAACCAGAAAGATTGAGCTGATCAAGCAGAAGTTGTTGATGGCCCAAAGTCGACAGAAGAGTTATGCGGATCGTCGAAGGAGACCTTTAGAATTTGAAGTGGGTGATCATGTATTTCTAAAGGTTTCACGTGTCACTGGTGTTGGTAGATCCATCAAAGCCAAGAAGCTTACACCCCGATTTATGGGTCCTTATGAGATTTTGGAGCGAATTGGACCTGTTGCATATCGAATTGCGCTGCCGCCACATCTTTCCAGTTTACACGACGTGTTCCACGTGTCACAGTTGAAAAAGTATCATCCTGATCCGTCTCATGTTATTGAGCCTGAAGAGGTGGAATTGCGAGATAATTTGACCTATCCAACAGAACCAGAGTGGATTTTGGACGTTAAGGACAAACAATTAAGGAACAAAACTATCCGTCTTGTTAAAGTCTTTTGGAAGGGCATGAGTCCAGGTGATGCTACTTGGGAGACAGAGGAACGGATGCGTTATGAGTACCCTTACCTGTTTTCTTAGTAAGCACTTTGAGTTACTTTTGCCTTTTTTTCTTGTGTGTGTTTGTTTGAATTTTGAGGACAAAATTCTTATTAGGTGGGGAGAATTGTAATATCCTTTAAAAAAAATTCAAAAAAAAATAATTGAAAAATAATATAATAATATTTTTTAATATTAAGAAAAAAAAACAAAGTCCAACTTTCCACCGAAATATCGGTGGAAAGTTGGAGGGGGTGTGGAAAAATTAGGGGGAGGGTGGAAAACGTGGGGGTTGGGTTTGAAAAAAAACCCCTCCCCCAATAATTGTGTGGGGGTGTTAAATACCCCCTACAATCCATTTTTCCCTTCGGCAAGCGTAAGAAGAAAGAGAGAAAGAGAAGAAGAAAAGAGAGAGAGAGAGAGAGCCGAAGAGTGTGTGAGAGAGAGGAGCATACCGGTGAAGCAGAGGGCAAGCTTTGAAGATATTTTAGGTACATAAAATTACTTCTTTTTATCAAACTTTCTTTATAAATATTTCTGTATATTTTAAGCTTCCTATTTACGTTATTACTATATGATTAGAGAAAATTTTGAGACTTATATATGATATAAGTATTGAGTTTTGACAAAAGATGACGATAGAAATTTAGAAGTAAATGAGTTGTTAATTTTAATCAGTTTAGATTTCTCTATTTGCTAGTTTTAGTATTTAAATTAATTTATTTAGTGGAAAATCTGTTATGTATGAGATATACCATATTTTTACCGATTAAATTTAAGTTAAATACTTTATTTGGGTTGTTTGATATATTATTGAGGTTTTAATCGGGTTAGTTTTATTTATTGGGTGACTGGAGGTTTTAAAATAATTATTGTAGCTAAAAAGTTTATTATTTATGGAAATATATATATGGTAGTTATACCATTAAAGTTTTGATTATATTATTTAGTTATAAATATTTGAAGTATTATTGAATTTTTGATAGTTTGATTTTGAGGTTTAAACTTAAAATGAGATTTTTAGAATTTATAACATAAAATTTTATATTTAGAAATTGTTGAAAATCCTTTTTATTAAGATAAATAATTTGGAGGTGGTAAATAAATATTTTGGCTTGTTAGAAATTTTAAGTTGTTTCTAAAATACTTAATAATTTTTGAGTTATGAGAGTTGCGGGAATTTGGAATAAAAATTTAATTAAATTAGAAATTTAAATAATATAGAGAAGTTTAATTAATTAATTTATTTATATTAATTTGTGGTTATATTAATTGTGTAGATTAATTATTGGTTGAGCAAAGGATTGACCTTGTGGTAATCCTTAGTATTGCTTTGGCGAGAGGTAACCACTTTCCACTTGTTATATGTGCTAATATGTTGTTTGTGAGTATTTTGCTATTTTTAGAATAATATTTGATATTTGGAACTTGAGTAGATATGTTATATCTTTTGAGCTATGAAAATTGTCTTGTGGGATTTTTGGAATTGTGATTGAGAAGTTTGGAAAAGATATATGGTTTATATCTTATGGATTATACTGAGAAAAGATTGAGACATTTTTATTATATTGTGAATGATTGGTTGTTATTTGGATTTTGGATTGAGTCATATCCTACCACGTGGTAAGGCCGCCATTGGTGCACATTGGTTGGCTTCTTCCTTCGTCCCCCATAGTGAGGGATAGGCCTTTGTGGCTTCTTATTCGTCCCACAAAGTGAGGGATAGGCCCATATGTTTGATTGATCCCCCAGAGTGAGGGATAGACTTATGTGGCTTGTGTGTTGACCCCCATAGTGAGGGTTTGGATGATTGAAATTATATTTCTATGGATATATCTATAGTTCTCGAGAATTAATAACTATCCCACTTGACACCTCACGAGCACGTGTTAGTATGTATGATGAGTTGGAAAGTTGGTTACTGAGGCGTTTGTCTCACCCCGTGGTTTAACATTTTCAGGCGATAGTTCAGGTGGTGGCCCATCAGGGAAGGCTCCGGAGGCATAGTGTGCTGTTATAGCTTGTATAGCCTCTCTGTTCTTGTTCTATGTGCTGACTTGTTATATATTGCCACATAGGGCTCATCTACTATCATGATGTAAAATAATACTTTTAATTACTACTATCTGGTATGATAGGTAGTGAGGAGGTCCGAGACATTTTAGACTTTGCGTATTACACTCATTTGATAGTGTTGATTTTTGACTAATGGGCTCTATGATTTATATTAAAATGTTTTATCAGTTCGTGTGTTTGAAAGTGTAAGTTTGGTTTGGGCTAACGGTTGAATGAAATTTCTGGACTTTGAAAGTCCAAGGCCCAAGTGAACGATTGATGTGGCTCGTAATATAAGTTTATTTCTTTTAACCATGATAGCGATTTTAAAATTTTAAGGTTTCTTCTTTTCTATCATGGTTAATTGTTCGAATAAATTGAAAATTTTGATCTAAATGGGTTTTAAAAGAATGGTCGTTACAATACTCATACTCACCCATACACTTGCATTCATCACATTGTATGCTTTTAGTTGACTTTGTGTGCTGCAACTCAATTTTGTTTGCCCTTTCTCTTGTGACTTTTATCTTGCATGCCACGGAAAACAAAACTTGTACCCTTTAACCCTGAGATTGAGAGAAGACTCAGAGAGATAAGAAGAGAGAAAAGAATTGAGGGGACAAGTGAGTTGGTGATTGAGCAAGAGAATATTTCTGTGGAATCTAGCCTATCTAGTAGTGAGAGTGAGCCTACTGACTAAGAGATAATGGCTGAATTACACAAAACCAACCTAATCCTAACGTGAATGCTAATCAAGTGAGGAATGGTGGTAATGGTGAACAAGAGAGAGTAGGAGAAAATAATGGACACCCTAGGAGAAGAACAATTAGGGAAGCCACAACTTTTGATGTAAATTTTGATCCTTTTACTGTGGCTTGTCCAAATTTTGAAGTTAACTTTGAGATTAAAGGTTTATTGATTAACTCTCTTCCCAAATTTCATGGCTTGACAAGAGAAGACCCATACCTCCATCTGCAATCTCTTTCCATGATTTGTCAGAGTATGAAGCCTGTGGGTACATGAGCCTCCCAAGACATGTAGCTGATGCATACCACAGTTGGGGGAACTTAAGGAAGGCATTTCTGGAGAAATACTTTTTGGCTTCTCGTACTTCATCAATGAGAAAGGAGATCTATTCTGCCAAGCAAGACTATGACAAATCTCTCTATGATTACTGGAATAGATTTTAGGACCTACTTTCAAGATGCCCACATCACCAAATTCCAGATGAACAACTAGTGCAGTACTTCTATGATGGGTTGAAGAACCAAGAAAAGGGTATGTTGGATGCTGCATCGGGAGGATCTTTGATAGACTCCACTGCTGAGGAGGCTTGGTATTTGATAAAGAAGATGGCCCTGAATCATCAACAACATGGTGTGAGAGATACTAGAGGAGTACATGGGATGGGAGCTGCTTCGGTGCACAGTAGGAGAATGGACGCTTTGGAATCAAAAGTAGATTCTTTGGGAAGCAAAGTGACATCTCAATTGTCTTTGATCACTACTGAATTGAAGAATATGAGTGTGCATCGCCCATCCGCTCCTATGGACATTACAGCGCCTAGTTGTGAAACATGTGGATCAGTCATGCATATTTCTAGTGTTTGTCCAGACCACTATGAGGAAGTGTTTGCAGTCTTCCAAGGCCGTCTAAATCAAAAGTGAGACCCCTACTCCAACACTTACAACGAGGGATGGAAGGTAAACCCTCGATTGAGCTGGAGGAATGATGATAGTAGACCTCCAAACAGATTTCAGAAGAGTGGAGGAGCTGGTCCATCTTCAAACCAGTTCCAAAACCAATCTCAAGCCCTAACTGTCCCACCTAAGGATGAAACCAATCAACTCCTACAAAATATAATTGCCTTAATGAAGGAAGAAAGGGCTGCTAATGCTACTCAGTTCAACTCCTTAGCTTCACTAATTCAACAAGACTTATCCAAGAATGATGCTAGATTTAGTGCTTTGGAAAAGAGGATGGAGCAATAGGAGACTAAATTTAAGAACATCAACTCCTATGTAACTCAGTTGTCCAACAACATGAGTGAGCAACAAGCAAGGAGCAGTAGCGCAATCCCTTCCAACACTGTTATCAATCCTAAGGGCTTGAATGCTATAACCCTTAGGAGTGGGAAGCAAGTGAATTTTAGAGAAGAGGAGGATGAAGTTATAGATGAGGAAATCTCGTGTGATGATCTGCCACAAGCACCTTCAAAAGTGAAGCATTCTGAAAGCTCCAAGGAGAAGAGGCTAAAGCTGAAAGAAGCCTCAAAAGAACTTGATGGCAAGGGTAAAGCTGTGGAATTTGAGCCAAGCAATCATGGAGCCTCAAGCAAGGAAGGTAAGGAGGTAAACATCAATGAACTACCTTTCCCTAATGCTTATTTGAAAAATGTGAAAATGGGTAAGGAGAGGCAAGATCATGAGTTGCTTGAGACATTTAGGAAAGTAGAAGTGAATATACCCTTGCTTGACCTGATTAAAAAGATTCCTAAGTATGCTAAGGTCTTAAAAGAATTATGCACTCAAAAGAGGAGATTTAAACCTAATGAAAGAGTCCAATTACCCTATAATGTGTATGCATTGTTTAAACCCCAAATTCCTGTAAAGTGTCAAGACCCTGGATCTTTCACTATCCCTTGCACCATAGGAAATGTTACTATAGGGGGAGCTCTGTTAGATCTAGGTGTAGCCATTAATGTCATGCCTAAGTCCGTATACACCTCTCTAGGAGTCAAGACTCTTAAGTCTACTACTGTTGTGCTCCAATTAGCTGATAGGACTATTAGGTATCCTGAGGGCATTATTGAAGACATTTTAGTCCAAGTTAAGGGATTGGTGTTTCCTGCTGATTTTTATGTGCTTGACATGTCTTCTGAACTTGTAAATGACACTATACTCATCCTTGGTCGACCTTTCTTAAGGACTGCTAATACCATGATTAGCATGAAAGAGGGCACCATAATTATGGAGGTGAGTGATAAT